ATACATACGTATACACATATATATAAAGCTCAAACAGAATCCCTTTTGCTGCATTATTGTTTCCATTCATTGCTGAAGGACAAAAATGTGATCATATATATTTTATTTACAACCAAAATAAACACAGCTAAACAGAACTTACAAATTAGAAAATATGCACGAGGCCATCAAAGCATTTTGTATGTAATGAGTGATGACAAATGAGGCATGGATTAAAATAATCTTACTGCCAGGAAATAAACAGTTGCCAGATATTTTGCCTGTGTGCATTTTCTACCTGTTGGCACATAAAAGAATCATGGATTTATCCACAGAGAAGAGCTGGTCAAGAAGTTTGTACAGATGGTTGGCTTGACAGGAGAGACAATTCAGAGAGGTCTCCCAAAATGCAAATAAGCACATTTTTCCTCCTAATAAATTAGGTTTTTAAAATAGTACTAATATCTACTCCAACTAAAGTAGTCTAAGTGGACAGTACAAAATTTATTGTCATTTTTTAATTAACCTTCCTCTTTATGGATGTATGAACACACCTTACTGTACATCATTCACAATATTTACAACAAAGGTTTTTTTTTCTCTAATTTATGTGACAAAGTGTTTCTGGGAATCCTCCTGAAGAATCCAATAGATTCATATGTGCTAAGAACAAAAAGGCAGGTGAGAAGTTCTTTCTGGTCCTCTAGGATTTGATTTCCATGAGTTGTTTGATGTCTTTAACACCATGCTCCTCTGCCACATCAATGATGTGGTCCAGGGCGTTTAGTCGGCCCAGTATCTTCACAATCTCTCTGACTTGCTCCCTGTTGATGAAAACGGTACACATGACAAGAAATCTACACACAGCCCTTCATATTAGAACAGTCACCATATTATAACAAGGTCATTTAGTAAAACAATCATGTCTGTCTCAAAGCTATTCCAAACCAACATCAGTTTTATTTACAAAACAGAATAAAGCTCATCACCTAGTGGTGCGACGCTCGCTGTCGGATCCACCCACGCTGCCGCGGTGCAAGGAATTAGCCAGGTGTGTGAGGTAGCGACAAAAAGGCTCCAACTGAGGCAACGTCTGCTGGCCCTTCAGCCCAGAGAACCAGTGCACAGGTAAACACTCCGCCACCTGAGGGGAGCAGATAAGCAGTGTCATTTTGTTCAAGGTCACCAACCTATTTGGTGAGTTGTTAAAAATTAAGGCTGCTGGCTGTAAAAAAAAGAAAAGAACAAATAACTAATATTAAATATAACAAATAAATAACGTTTTAACTGATTACGTCCAGGAAATAAAACCGATCTTCAGCTGCTGTTTAAAGCAAAACAAAAAACAATTTTTTTTATTTACATATGAACACATTAAACATTAGCAAATTAAGATGCCTGGAAAAATCCAGAAACTGAATCATTCTCTATCATTTCTTATTCTAATCTTTTGGGAAGAATCTTTGCTAAACATAAAACTACATATAGGACTTGGTTGCAGGAACAAAGTCAGATTTCTATGAACTGGTACAACTTACAGTGGATGGCAATGTACCCAAAACATGTCCCCACCCCCATCTAATTAAACATGTCACCTTCTTGTAATGTTGCTCTTTCAGCAGAATAATACTCTCAAAACAAAACGTATGCTGTTCCCATGAGTAAATAAAAGAGAGAGGTATAGTAATTGCTGAGTCATGATTTCTGCTTTCATCGTGTGATTTGGTCTCAAAAATACAAGAAAACTTAAAGAATTGTTTGTACCACAGTAAAAGGATGTTGACTTATTTCCAAACAATGAACCAAAGGACAAAAGAGACCCAACTCAGTTACGTACCTTCTGGCACTTCTGAACATTTTCCTCTCCGACATCTGTGGTCTGCAGCGCAGASAGGATGTATCTATTAAGAGTGCTGTCTAAAGCCAGGTCTTTAAGACAGGAATAGGAGAGGATGCCATCCCACTGCAAGATGTTGCCCAGCAGCTGTGCACAAAGGAGACAACTGTTTAAATGTGTGCATAGTTTAAGATGGCAACAAGAGAAATTCTTGACATTTCTTGCCGCTGCAGATATAAATCTTCTAACGAAGTGTTGGTGAACAAATAAAGATGAGAATCAAGCAGCTTAACACCTCTCATAATAAGAAACAACATTGGCTTTGACTGTTCAATTAAAAAACGCAACCCTGAACCATCTGAATATACTTTTTTGCACATTTAGGTTAGCAAACAACACACCATATCCTTCTTGTTTACAGTTTTGCTATCTCAATCAAAAGTGGAAGCTGAGTTAGCTCAATTTTCTGCCTTTATTTCCTTACAGTTACTGTTGAATTATTTATCTATTTCAGTCTAACAAATGGTGCATTAAATAGGAAGATGTGATGTACTGTATTTGCATTGTCAACATTATGTATTGAATGTTTTATTTAATCATGTTTATCAACGATCCTAAATGATAAGGTAGCAATTCTAAAAAGGTAGATACATCTTCTGCAACCGTGTAACATTTTACGTACAAACCTTTCAATCAAATTCTAATAATATTTAAACCAGTTACTGTAATATGCCAGCAACGTAGTTTGAATAAGAGATCGTACCTTCACACAGGACCAGAACTGCCGCTGGTAGAAAAGGTAGGCGCCACAGTTCTTGTTCTCCATCACACTTAACAAAAGCAAACAAAGTTCCTTTTATACAGTTTGTAAACTTAAATAAATGCTTCTAACTTGAGCAATGATTGAACATACTTTTTGGGGTAAAGTGGGAGGAAGATGTCTTCGTCCAGAATCCGCCTGGTCTGCAAAACTATTGTTTTCAAAAGCTCCTAACAGATAGGATTAAGAGAATTACAACCGCTCTATCACAACAAAGAGACGTAGGGAAAAATGTGCAATAAAGCAATATAAAGACGCTCTACCTGTGTGTATTGGTTGTCCCCTCGCAGCACAGTTGGATATCCTTCAATGAGTCTGTGAATGAAGCCCACCAGCCTGGCCGTCTGACTGCTTGACAGCGGGTCCCACGCTTGTTCTGCCAACACTACCACGAAAACAAGAATCCATGACATATTTTGTACTTAACTGCATCTCGAGGGATGTTTTTTTCCCCTTAGTATGCTGAACGCAGCTAAGCAGGTTTCACTACCTGACAGTTTGGAGAGGATGACCTTCTCTACGATAGCTGGCAGCAAGCCGAGGTCTCCGTCTTCTTTTTGTAACGTGGTGTGCTCCTCAAAACCATAAAACAGAAGCGACTCGAACCAGAGCATGTACTCAAAGTTCGGACACGGCTCCTGCATTGGAATACGTTTAAAACAAAGCTTAATGTTGCAGTTTTGTTGATTTTTTCCAAGTAGGAAAGCATTTCTTTGAAAACACCTACGTGGAGAGGGTTCCAGGTAATGAGCTGCAGTCGAACTAAAGGGTTAAAAAGCCTCGGCAGACAGAGGCCGATGTAAGCCTCTCGGTAGCAGTCGGGGTATTCTTTCCTCCACACTTCAAAACGAGACTTGATGCAGTCCAGAGAATGGAAGTCCTCCAATACGTCCTCAAATATTTTCTTACTTTCCCTCATGATACGATCTAAGCAAAATAAAATACTTTAGTTACACGGGGGCTATGGAATGCCTCGTGTGTTAAAGCCATGTTTAGAAACAAATTCTGCTGTTTGATGTCATGTTTGCAGCAAGTACCCCTCTCTGTGTTGAAACTGGCGATGTCAGTCGAAGTTTCCTCATCATCAGAAGATAAGCCTTCTTTATGCTCAGCCCTCTTTCCAGTTTGCTCTCTAGCTTGTCGGCGCCGTGTTCTGCATTTACCCAGAAACGGAACAAAGTTAGTCTCGAGTTTGGCACAAAAGGCCTTCATGAAATCTGTGGCTCAAAATAAGAAAAAAAAAAAAACAAGTGAACTCCACACCGTCGTGCTTCTCTTTCAGCTATCCTCCTAAGACGACCGGGCTCTTGGAAAGCTGCTCGGTCTCGACCAAATGAGTCTAGATTAGGAGCCACGACAGCTTTATCTGCAAAAAAACAGGACAAATATTAAAACCAGTACAGCTATAAAACCTTTAAACCTATTTTTATTCTCGGAATACACCATTAGAGATGAACCACAAATGAAATAGTAAAATTTGAAATAGTATAAAAAGCTAAAAATTGAAAAAAGATACTTAAAATTATAAACGAGCTATATCATGGATGGAATCTTCCCATATGCTCATTTTTAAAAGACAAATCTTTTTCTGTAGTATTCGTTTTCTATCCACTTACCTGGTTGTAACTTTAGCAAAAGTGTTAGATGGCAAGTCTCTACAGATCTTTTCCCACATCTTTACTTTGCGGCTCATTATTCGAGCCAAGTTACAAACACCCAGCTGTGAGACTCAGAAGCTCAAACTGCTCCTTCAATAAAACATTTCCAAATGCATGAACATGCTCACTCACACACACAAAAAATAAATAAATAAAAAAATAAAAATGTCACTTAACTATAATCATACTTGTAAGGGTGCTGGAATGAGGGCAGTATGGGACAAAACTATCAAACACACATTCTCACGCATACAGAGAACTAACGAGGCCGTTCAAATAAATTATAAAAACCTTCAAGATGGACTGACTTGAAAGGCTTGCAAACTCCGCCGATTCATCTTTAATATCATCATGTCGTCTCTGGACAAGTCGAGAGGCCCGTTGCCTTAGTAACTGGTGCATGGCAGCCTCCAGCTCCAGGACAGCAGGCACCTGAAAAATATGATGCCTTTTGTGACCTTTGACCCAACAACAGTGGGACTCCGAGTCACTGGGGTGTCTTGCAGGAGAACTAAGAGGAAAATGATGGATAACACAACTCTGGAAGCAAAATATCATCGGTGCTGGGTGAAAACTTGACATCGTTCTTTTATTAACATGAAGCAAAACTGACAAGTTGTGAACTTAATTCAGTATGAAGTTGATGTTATTATCGAGTCAAATTAGAGGCAAAGTTAAAAAGTGAATGCACTGGAGTGCCAGGCTTTTACCCAACACTGATAATACGATGCCAAACATGTTTACAGAATTTAAAAGGACAAAGTAAAGCAGAGAATAGTTTGTTAGTGTGTTGTATTTATCACAGCCGTCAGCAAAGTCGCTTTGTTTTATGTAGTTGCTGCAAGATGAAGACTAAAATAATCTGCCTGGCATGAAAACAACTGCAAAAGTAATCAAACCAACTTGAGTCCAAGTATATAATCTCCCTTTGTTTTATYTGTCTAGACTCCTCTTTATTTAGACAGGACATGTGGATGCTTAGACTACCATTTTTGGTTTTCTTGCTCCAGTTTTCCAGCAGCATCACTAACAAAAATGACATTTGTATGTTAACATAACAGAAGTTATATTCCTAATAAAAACCAGCTGGGGACTACACACTGCATGGCTCGGTTCTGAAAAATCAGCAGGTTATAAACAAGCCAAGCCTGGTTATAAACAAGCCATATTAATAACAGGATCTGAAAATTACAATGCTAATTGAAAAAAATATATTTATCATGTCAAATTACATATCATTAAGCATTTGTTTTTGTTCTTTTTAAGTTTGTATCTGTTTAAAAATTCACATCATGTTCCCAGATCACAAACAAAACAGCAAAGAGCTAATCAAAACACACATATAATTTCTCCCTTACCTTTTCACTGAAACACTCAAGCAAGTCTCCAACATACCCTCGCATTTCTTGCAAGAATTTATATTGCTCGGCATTATCATAGGATGAACCCTCCAGCTGCTGGATGGTACCCTCAGAGGCAGCGAGGTCTTCTTTGATCTGTTTGTAGCGCTCGGCGTTTGCGTTGTGGCCTGCGCGCATGTGGGTGAGCCTAGAAGGCAAAAAGACACGAAGGACAACAAGTGAGGGCGTGTTCTTCAGGGAAAGGAGCAAAACTTGTCCAACACTGACCACTGGAAACACAATTACAGTTTTAAATGCATCTGTCAAATAATTAATATCGAGATATATTATTTTGAGCCTCTCTGGTCATTAGATGTGTCCTCAGGACCATGTCTCACTGAGACAGCACTGAGTTGAGGACTGATATTTGGCGTTGCTGGGGTCTTCTACTGAACCTACCTATCCTGCAGGCGTTTCTTTACCAGATCAATGGATACTGGAGTTAGATCACAAACTGGGGCCCCATAGTGAACAGAACCATTATCTGAGGTGCCTGGGATCTTGCCAGTCTCTGGAGCCACTGTGCTGTAGGTGAAGGGCATGGTGTAGGAGGAGCCATAGGGCTGGGTTTCATAGCTGTTCTGGTAGTAGACAGTGGTGTCCTCTGGTTGACTGCTTTGAACCTAATTAACAAAAACAGGAGAAATACACAATTACAGCCATGATTAACAAAACTACAACTAAGAACTTAATTTTTAACAAACAATTTGTTGGCAAGGATAAGGAATCATCTTGAACGTCACAAACTATAGAAATGACTGAAAAACCTGAAAGAAATGCAGCACTGATGGTGGAAAATATAAATTATTTTATTTTTTAATAAGCTTTATTCATTTCATAAAACAAAATTATATGTACAATAAAAAGAAAAGAATTATTATTATATTATTAATAATAATTCAGCCAATTAAAATCCCCAGTGGTATTTTTATAACGCTATAATATGGTATATAGAGTGATATTATAATTCACAGAGAACAACTTGAGGGTTTTGGAGGAAAAAAAGTCAAACAGAAAAACACTGTTGCTAGTTTTGTTCCAACAAATATCTCTTTTTGTGTTAGCTAAATAGCTAACGTTAGCATCCACCCATGCAGCCGGCTCGCCCAACTCTCCCTCAGATGGGGGAGGAATCAGTGAACATCCCTCTGTTCAGTTCATCTTCTCTGACAGCATTTTATATATACAGTGTTGTATGTG